ATATTTTCTTTTTCTAATTGTATTTTCATGTATCCAAGTGTAGTGTTAGTGATACTTGTTCATGACAAATGCAAGATACTTCCATTCTTCAGCCTATTGTATATATTTTCTTTCTTTGCTTGTTTGATCTACAAAGTTTACCAAAGTTGCTGGAACAGGAATTGATGTGACGGTATCAGAACTATCAAAGAGAAAGGGTTCAGTTCCTTTATAATCCGATGCTAACATGTATGTGCTCCAATTACCTTTTTCCTTCAACACCCAAATATTCTTCTTCAGAACCTTTTCAAGAATCTCCCATTTAACCTCAAGATTCATATATAAATATTTGACGCAAACCTATGTTTTCTCTCGTGGCCAGCTGCCTGGCGCAATNGAAGATGGAAAATGTGTGACGGCTCATCCGCTTTCTAGCGGGAAGTTTGTAAACGAACGGAAGGCTTCAGGTAACAGTTGGGATGCAAACGCTGAAGCAAAGAAGTTCATTTTATTTTATTTTATTAGGGAATTAGGGTACAAATTTCATTTTATTTTACATGTTAGGAGTGCGCGTTCGAAAATAAACAAGTCACAGGGCATTATGAGTGATATGTAGCATCGAAGAATCTTCTTGCTGAAGATTCATTAATTTCTTACTTTTATTGTAAATCATATAGTCACAGTGTTTTCATAACGCCAATCACCAATTAGTCTCTATTTATTTATGTATTTATTTATAAATATCCTTTTTTAGCTCCTCTTGTACACTTCTTTCTTCTCTTTTCTATCCATGTGTATTTTATGTCGCGCTCGACACGGATATTTATTTTTTCATGTATAGTCTTCGCATTCAATTCCGGACACTCATATCGTCATATCCTTCTCTAAATTTTCTTGGATTCAAATACAAATATTTTTTTTTTGAGCATACACGGATATTTATCGAATACTTAAATGCTCATCTAATTAATAATTTATGTTGTATTAGTATGAAACTATGCAATTAAGGAGATAATTTTATATTTGGTTAAATATGTACTTTTACTTTCCTCAAGAATCTGATTTATTAGAAGTATAAATTCATATTGAAAAATTATTCCTTTATAATTGTGATGGATAAGCTATAAGTTGCATATTTGGTTAGAAATCCAAGTCAGAATTTTTTAGATCATTCGAAAGTAGTATAGAATCTAAAGGAAAAAAAAAATATAAGTGGGTAAAAAACAGAACATTATGTGTAACAATGCAAAGTTATAAGGGATCAAATTTCAAATGAATATTCTATAACCGAACAAATTGAATGTACGTCTAGTTAATTCAAATCCATTAATAAATCAGATTTTAAAGAAGTTTACTCACTGTAAGATGAGCTATCAAATTGAATATAACCCGCAATTAGATGAAAAACTAGCAAACTATTTGTCAATTATTTTGTTGGTCTTCACCCCTAATTTGTAACTGTTATCTCCAGCTAATGAATTTTATGGATATATCTGTTCCCGGTTGCTCTAAAAAAGATACACAATCCCGATATAGTATGAGACACAGAAGACAAAATTAATATCAAAATACCACTATTGAATCCAAATTAGGCTGGCCCTCATAAAGGCCCGTCAATGTCAGTTTCTTGCTTACAAACTACAAAATTTAATGGGCCCTTGCCTCTTGAAGCTGCCGCATAGGATTATTCTTTCCGATTCAAAATATCTCAAGTACACATCAAATCAAAACAAACAACCAGATAAAATAGCAAAACAAAATTTAAATTTTGAATGTAAAGAAAAAGTAAAAAAAAGAAAGCTTTTACGAGAAAACCTAATACGACCCTCCATAGCAACACATGAGTAAACCCTAGTTACCTTCCGATTACATACATTTACAGCAATCAACTCCTATAATTTACACCCCACCTTCCTCTTTTATTCTTCTTTAATCTACAACACAAAGACGGAGTTGGTTATGCATCAAGAATCACCCGAAAACAATTCGGAGCTTCGAAAGTCTTTATCCGATCCATGTTACACGAGTCTTCACGATCTTCTCTCGTCTCCGTCGTTTAAAGCTACAGTTCGCAGCTCGCATCAACTACCGTTCAAGAATCCATTAGTGCGACGAGCGGCTTGTGCGTATCTCACGCCGACGCCGTCATTATCGAGGAATGATCGAAGCCCACTTAGCCGATTTTGGGAGGGAATTGTTTCTTGTTTTAAAGGCTATAGATGAGTCCGTAGTAAGTTTTTTTTTTCCTAGAGTTTACCCTCTTTGTTTATTGATTGGTTACGAATACACTTTTTGCGCTTTTAATTAGACGATTCAATCTTTTATTTTGATTATAGTGGGGGTGGAAAGCCGTGTGAAAAATAGGTATCATTTCCTTTGGAGGAGGTGCGAGGATTTATTAACCTTCAACAAAAACATATTGATCTTGCTGGAATATCAAATTAAAATGTTAGAATAAATGAGGTTAATAGCATGCATGAGTTTTAGAAGTGCAATAGTCATAAGTTTAGATGGGGAAGAGACATAGATTATGGAAGAATAAGAGTTACTCACTCCTTTACGATGTTTTATCTTTATGACATTAAAATACGAGTTTAATTTGTGATTATTTGTATGCCTATACGTTTTGTTTTTGAAGCCTATATAAATGGGCTATTGTAATCCTTGTTTTCATCAAGAAAAAATTAAAGAAATAAAAGTAAGTTCTTTGTTTTCATTTGGGAGAGTTCTAAGTTCGTAAACTTAAGAGTCATAAGATCTTTTGCACTTATCAGACGTTAATATAATCCTTTTTTCTAATCAGATCATCCAATTACTGGCTAGTAAAGAATCTTAGATTGTTATTTTATTTTTTTATAGTCATTTTATCTATTTGGCGTGATCTTTTGTTTTTTGTTTTTTACATAAAGTAAAATGACAGCTCGTGTGCCGTTGACATTAATTATAGTGTCACTAATTTATCATCCTTACAATTTAAATCATCAAGATATCAAAATCATTTCTTAAGATTTGAATATATTCCAGCCAAGACCATGAGAAGACACACATCCAAATATGCCTACTTTCTTTAGGGATGTCCCTGGTTAAAGAAGTAGTAGTGGTTGCTTTATAATAATCAAGTTTTCCATGTGAATATGAAATCAGAAAGCGTAACTGTAAACATGCTTTGGTTAATGGAGATCTCATCTTTCCGACCATGGCAATTTATTACTGATATGTGAAATATTGGGTTGGGTGTTTTACCAAAAAGGGGTTATTTTTCTCTAATAACAATATTATTTTCTTCAAAGTTTTTACTATATAGTCTGAACTTAATTTGAGACTAGAGACATTATGCATTTTTCAATGACATGGAAAATTGTGGTGTCTAGAACATGTGATCAAGCTTCTAAGCAATGACTCCGAATCGCTGATAGGCTATGTCATGTGTTCTTTTAGGGGGTGTTTGGTTCAATTTTTATAAATTATAGGAAAAGGAAAACACCGAAAATATAGATTTCCTTGTATTTCTATAAAATTTGTAGGAAAAATTTATAGAACTCAAATAGTATCATATTTCATATTTTTTGCTATTTCTTTGTTTGGTTCAAAGTATGAAAAAGTTCCTAACTTTATAGAAAATATGTTGTTTCCTTTTTTGTTTGGCTGGATATCACTTTATAAAATAGCTTACTAACAATGCTCATGGGAATGATACTGGTGTACTTAATTATTTTTTAATACATGCGTCAGATTTCCTTGTAATTTTCGCCCATTTTAAGTGGAAAATAATTTCTGTAAAATTGTACAGATTTTTGTACTTTACAATTTTTTTTTTGTAAATTCAATGTTGAACCAAACACAGTTTTTGGAAATCTACAGAAATCTATTATTTACGAAAACACCATTGTCACGTGTTTTCTCAAAACTTTTCCATAAAATAGGTGAACCAAACACTTCTTTAGTGGAATGTTTTTCATATTAAGTCATTCATTGTTAATAAGGAGCCAATAATATATTCTAGGAAGTTTCGTTATTTTGATTTTGCCAAAACAGTTTGTTATTTCATTTGTTGATGACGCCATATTTTGTCATATTTCTCTTTATTTATGTTATTTTTTGATATAAATTTAATACTATTAATGGTTCTAATTTTATATAATTTATCATTTAAAATGTCCGATTCCCTTTATTATTTTGACATAAATTAATTTGTCTAAGTAATTTCAATATTTCAAAACATGTGGGATGTCTAGTGGATTTTTAAATAAAATCAATTTTATAGTAATTCTGATACAACTTTCTACTGCAGCTCTGAGCAACTTACGATGGAGTTTGATCGTTCATTCACTACCAAAAGTTTTAGCAAAGGATGTCAATCAGTGTCCAAGTGGGAGATTATAGTTTGTGGAGCCTTATTTATATGGAGAATGCATAGAAGCAAGAATTACGCTCCTACATCCTGATTAGGTGGTGGTGGTAGTAGTTTTTACAATTTTTTGGGAGGGTATTTTTATATTTTTTAATAATAATAGATTTTCACCTGCATATTTTTTCTTATTGACAAAGAGAGAAAAATAGAGACGAGGAAAAGTGAGATTAGGGGTCTAGAGAATGGCTGTAATATGTGTTTGGATAGAAACTATCCATACCGTCGCGGAAGCTAAATCAACTAGAGAAGATCTCAAACTTGAGATCTCTCTACAGTAGCGCTTGTGATTTATTCAACTGAATAAAAATCAGTTGAATAAATCACAACTCAATCTTAATTTTCTTGACGAAAATTGTCCTCAAAATCCCTGAGAAGAGTCGCCACCACAGAGAGAAAAAATCTCTCTGCTAAAATCGATTATATATATATATATATATATATATTATATATATATATATATATATATATATATATAATATTATATATATAATATTATATATATATAGACGAGAGAGAGAGAGAGAGAGAGAGAAGAGCTCCATTAAGCTCTCGTGAAATGGGGTTTCCCTTTTATAGGGAAACCCTAGGGCGATC